TTCTCCCCATCTCGCTGCCAGGTCAGGGTGATCTCCGCAGGGTAGAAGCCCAGGGCCCAGCACCTCAGGGTGACTTTCTGGTCAGAGATGGGGTGGAGGGTCACCTGTGTCTTTGGGGGATCTGGAGGAGAAAATTCAGAAAATTTCTCTGTGTTTGCTCAATGGACATTGATCAGCCTCATATAACCATCCTCTCAATGGACATGACATTGGTTTGGAGGAGGAAGCACAAAACCCAGAGCCCAGCCCTGCCTGGGGAATCTGGGATCATGGGGTGAGAGTCCAGGGTGGCGGGTGCAGGTCTCTAAGGAGGACACGGACTCTGCTGCTGACCTGGGCGGGGGTGAGTGACACAGCAAGGCAGAGTCAGGTCCAGAACTGTTCTCAGACCAAAGACAGGCCTTGAGAGTGAAACTCCTGGTTCCCAGGATGGCTGCTACTATCTCAAAAGGACGCAGTGAGGGTTGGTTCAGGGGTGTCTCCCCTCCATCCGGGAGAGACTGTCCTTCATAAAAGGTGGGGTCCCCTGGGTGAGTCTCTAACACAGAACATGAGACCCAGAGGACTACTTCCTCTCCTGACCAGAAAGAAGATCTGTTCTGCCCATTACCCCTGGGCTCCAGCCTGAGGAGAGATGGGGGATCTCTCCACCCCTCTTACCTGCCCGCTGCAGAATCTCCTTCCCCATCTCCAGGAATCTCAGCAGCCAGTCCACGCACCTGCCCTCCAGGAGATTTTTCATTTGTTCTGCCCTCCCGGACGCCTCCCACTTGCGCAGGGTGATCTGGGCCACCTTGTCCACTGCAGTCCAGGAACGCAGGTCCGGGTTCAGGGCGATGTAATCGGCGCCGTCATAGGCGAACTGATCATACCCGCGGAGGAGGCGCCCGTCGGTCCCCACATCACAGCCCAAAGTCCTCTGGATGGTGTGAGACCCTGTGCCCAGACCCTGTGGTCAACTCCCTGATCACCCCATCTGCACCCGCACTTCCTGCCCTGAACAAACATAAACTTAAAATGTCCCAGGTGAAAGACTCGTGGGCTTTTCCTGTGTGTGTCGCTGGAGTGTGTAGGGTACAGTAACCTTGGTGTTCACTCGGGTCATGAGACTTGGGTCGGTGGGAATGGGGGTAACCTTGCCCTGAGCCCACAGCGCTCACCGTCCCTGCTCAGGTTGTAGTGGCCGAGCAGGTCCTCCAGCAGCGCTCTGAGCCTCCCTGCGGTGAGCTTCTGGTTCTGCGTCTCCTCGTCCAGATCCTCCCGCCGCACCTGCTCCGCCCAGGGCGCCCGCGGCTCCGCGCTCTGACCCGGAGAGTCGCTGTGGAACCGTCCGAACTGCGTGTCGTCCACGTAGCCCACGGAGGTGACTCGGGGCTCCCCGCGGCCGGGCCGCGACATCGCCGTGTAGAAAATCCTCAGGGAGTGGGGGCCTGAGGGCGGGAAGGGTGAGACAGGGTTGACCCTACTCCCTGCGCGCGCGGGTCCGGGTCCCCAAGGGCAAGGGGCCACAGGATGAGGAGGGCGGAGGCTCAGGGGGGCAAGAGGAGGCGTGAGGCTGGGAGGGGCAGAAAGGGATCCGGACAGGATGGGTACGAGGGGCCAGGGGGCCCGGGTGGCAGGGACCCTCCTTTCCCGGGGTCTCCATCCCTGCCAGGGGCTCCTCACTCCTCCCACCCCAGCGAATTTTTCCTCAGGACCTGCACTCACCTGCCCAGGTCTCCGCCAGGACCCTGGAGAGCAGCAGCAGGAGCGCTGGAGTCATCCCCTGGCCCTGGAGGGCGCTGAGGGCTGAAATGTGGGGCTTCAGTGGGGACTGTGTGACTGGAACCCGTGATGCTGAGCTGACGGGAGGCTCTGGGAACCCCGAGCCATGGGTAGTGGGAGGAGCTGAGTTTTGCAGAGACCAATAAATTCCTTGTGCTGCCCTGAGTTGTCATTTGTCTGCATGGGAAATAGTGTGTGTGGGAGGGGTTTGTGGTAAGGTGTGGAGTGCTGGCATCTCTTGTAGTAATGAGCCCAGAGGAAGGAAGCTGGGGAGGGCACAGCTGAATGGGCTCACCCATCCGAGAGACGATTCACCGCCCCTCCCCCCCCAGCCTGTGATACTTCGTGGGCATTTTTAAGCACACTAGGAGCTGAAGTGATTATGAGCCCACACCCCCTGGACCCCAGCTTTAGCATTTCCCACATTTGCTGTCACACACATCTGCCCTCTAGTCTGTCTCTCTGTCTCCTTATGTTGTGAATAATCAAGCCAAAGGCACAGAACAGTTGAGACAGCATAACCAAGTCCCACCCACATCTCTCATCCACCTTATTTCCCTGATGAGTTTCAGAGTCAGTTGCAGATGTGAGTTAATTTCATTTCTCAACTCTTCATCATTCAAGTAAGTAACTAGGATTCAAATTAGTTTAACATTCATTTTTGTGATAAAATTCATATTTAAAGATTTATTTACTTACTTATGCATACAAGAATGGGATATAGCCCAGAGGAGCAGGTGGAGGGAGGAATTAACAGAGAGTGGGGAACAGAATAGGTGGATCTACTGAAATACACTCATGAGGGGAGGTGGGGAGACAGGAGAGGTCTGCTGGGCCATGGGGGTCAGCTCCCTGGCTGGGATCCTGCTCCTACCTAAGTGGCTGGGGACAGCCTGATAGTGCTGGACTTTAACTCTTGTACCACCAGGGAAATTCATGTTTAGAGTAATATGTAATCTTTTTTTTTAAAGATTTATTTATTTATGCATATAAAAGCTGGGGTACAGGCCAAAGGTGTGAGGGTCAGAGGAATCACCAGAGACAGATTGGGAAACACAACAGGCAGATCCACTGAATACACTGCTGAGGGAAGCAGTGGGTGAGACAGGAGAGGTCTGCTGCACTGTGTGAGTCACCTCGCTGGCTGAGGATAGAACTTGTGCTGAGGCGATTGCCGTTAGCTTCCTAGTCCTGTGCTTTACCACGTTTTGCCACCAGCGAGGGCCTAGAGTAATATGTAAATCTTAAGTTTATACTTTGGTGAACTTTGTCCCTAGTGAAGAACATTAGGATATAGGTTTACTTTATTTTACACTGAAAGGTTCAGCACAGTTAAGAGAGAGAGAGATCCAGGCAGTTTCTGACAGGTAGGAACTTTATTGTGCTCCCTGGGGAGGTTCACTGACTCCCACTGGGTCTGCTGGGGAACACGGGTCAGCTTTTATAGGGCTTGGAAGCTGCTTTACAGAAACTGGTTCATCAATGACTCTTATCCGTTCCTGGGATGCAGGCAGCTTCCAGACTTTAGGGGGCTCAAGGTTAGTCAGCTCCGGGTACACAGAGAGTCACAGCTCTAGATTCAAGGTCCCACCCCGCCCTGCCCAGGTGCTGGAAACTTACAGGTACAGATGACCCTTTATGTGACCCTTTACTGATGGGCCCTTCACAGGGTAACTGGTCCTCACCCACCCTGGTCACTCCTCTCACAGTCCATCCTTCAGCCCGTGGCATGGCCATTCCCAGCACAGTCCTCGACCACAGTCCCCTGGAACCGAGTCCAGGCCTGGTTCATCTTCAGAGTTATTTTTAATTGTGTCTACTGAGGTAACTGATTTACAGCATTGAGTTAGGTCAGGTTCAAACATCTACAGATGAGTGTGACCACACCACCCTTACCCAGCATCCACCTGTGATGTGTTATTCTCTGACTTTTCAGCAAATAATCCATTGGACTCTCCCTTTCCCTTCCCACCTCTAACTATGAGTCCTGCAGGGAGAGCAGCGGATTGTCTGCATGTGTCTATAGATACACAAGGTGTTCTCACAATTTGTATCAAGAACGCTGTGTGTGTGCGCAGGCAATTTCGAAGCATCGCTGTGTCAGAGCAGAGGATGGTGATTTCTTCTAGCAAAACAAACCTCCAGGGATAGAATGAAAAGAAAAAAAAAACAGTGATTTCTCTTTATAGTTTACCTTTATCAAGTCATTCAAAGCACCTCAATTCCTTTATGTGAATATTCCTTTACAATTACGTAACAAGTTATTGACAGAAAACATACAAGTCAGAAACCTTACAAATTTTCACAAAATCATCAACTTTCTTTAGTTTTCTGAGAACATGAAAATAAAGACATTACAAGTCACAGCCCTCACTACAGGGGTGTCTGTAAAGAGGGGGGCTGTCACTGTCAGCTCCCTGCTTCCCAGGCTTTAGCTGAATCACTCTCACTGGTGCTGAGATTTGTGTCCCCTTGTCTGGGGCTGGCGCCTCCTGGGGCCTGAGCAGAGCCAGTGTTAAATACACTAATAACCTCACTGAGACTGTGAGTGAGCGTCTAGCTCTTCAGGCCCTGAGTGGAAAGAGACACCCTGTGAACACCCCGGGTGCCCAGTGCCCCTGAGCTGGGCGTGTCACAGTCATTGCTCCTCTGAGGCCCAGTCTGCGGCTTGATCTCTCTGCAGCTTCCAGAACAGAAACCAGGCTTACTTTGTCTCCAGACTCTTTCTCTCAGGCCTGAGGAGATGCTCCCTGCTTTTCTGAGCCTCCCTGGCCAGGGCAAACAGCTCTTCACACTGGACAGGGAGTCTTTGTCCACGCCCTTGCTACTCCGCCCCTCCTCAGGCAGCCCTTCTCCTCTGGGCTCAGGTGCCGGACCTGCCTGTAGGGGGCTGACAGTGACCGTCACCCCCAGACTTGGGGCCTCATTGCAGTCAACACTTTGCTCATTGTTACCAACAGCTGGCAGTCCTTTTATTCCCTCCTGGTCTGAAATGCTTTTCCTCCTCTGGCTCCTGAGGAACATTGTCTGTTAGTTTAAATAACAGGATATTTAATGATATTAAATAATAAGATGTTCTGTACCCATAGATCTGATGAAAATGATAACGTAATTGATGTTGTATAAAAGAAAAGCCAATTCACTCAAGATGAGACATGAAAGTCAAAAACATAGAAAATATTATTACATGGTATTTGGAGACACAGAGTAGCAATGAGAGAATCAGGGGCATGAAGTTATGCAAGTTGTCTCTGAGGGTCAGGCAGTCGGTCATGGGAGAGGAGGCCTCTGGCTTCATAACAGACCTGTTGCGGTGGGGCCGTAAACTCTGTGTGTGTGTGTGTAGATAGCCACATATATTTTTTGAAAAAAATAAAAAGATGCCCAGGGGGTGAGAGCGAGGACTCTCAGGGATTGTTCTCTAAGGAATATCATAGAAATGGACCCTTGTTCAAGGACATGGGATCAGGTTTAGGTTTTTGTGGAGGAGATTGTCGGGTTGATTTAAGAATATTTTTTAAATGGGAGTTATTAGGGCCTGTTTTCATAGAGGGAAGAATGAGCAGAAGAGAGTGGGAAATTGATGACCCAGGGGATGAGGGCCTCGTCCTGCACCAAGCTGAGGGGCACCTGAGACAGGAGGGGGCCTTCTCCCATCACCTGCTGGGGCAGAGGGATCCAGGTGCAGGTGCAGGGCGATGTGCAGGTCTCACCTGAGTGCTTTGTGTTTTATGAAAGATAAAGGAATCAGCTCATCAGCTAAGAGTGGGGGGAGGGGATGCTGAGGGGTTGAGGGAAGGAGGGGGTGGGAAAGGGCCTCTCAGGGGGTGGGAGTGGTGACCTGGGCAGGGACACCTGGGAGTGCAGGACTGAGCCCACTGGGCTCTGTGCTCATCAGTGAGGGGGAGAGAGAGACTGAGACAGAGACAGAGATGGCCTCAGGCAGTGGCAGAATGGAAAACAACAAGGAAAGAATAAAGCAAAAGCTCTCCAAGTGTGAAGACTACAGTGTCTTTTACTTTCCCATTGTAACATTTTAAATGTTTTATAATTAATGTCCATTGTAGCACATAAAGTCCACATCATACATATACATCTTACCAGAGTAAGGCAGGTCTTCCTACATTGTCAAGGGACTTCCTGTGGTGGTCCTCAGGCTCAGAGCAGAGCTG